CCCTTTCTTTCAGAACATGCAACACAACTCCTTGTGCAAGCTCTTGTTCTGTCCAGGCTGGACTATTGCAATGCTCTCTTGGCAGGTCTTCCAGCCACTTCTATCAAACCTCTACAATTAATCCAGAACGCGGCAGCAAAGATTAATTTTTAATGATCTGAAAAGAACGCACGTCACACCTCTGTTTATCGGTTTGCACTGGCTACCAATATCTGCTCGCATACAATTCAAGGCATTAATGTTTGCCTACAAAACCACCACTGGCTCTGCACCCCTTTACCTAAATGCATTACTTCAGAGTTATGTGCCTCTAGAAGCTTGCATTCTGCAAGTGAACGGCACTTTATTGTTCATCCCAAAGAAGCACAAAATCACTTTCACAGACTTTTAAATGAACTGTTCCCTCCTCGTGGAATGACCTGCCCAACTCAATCCCAGCAGCTGAGTCCTTAACCATCTTCAAGAAACGACTAAAACACATCTGTTCAACTTTTATTTCACCCTCTAACTCTAGCACTCTCTATTCTAATTCTACTCTTTAAAAAAAACTCTATTCATAATAAAAAAAAAAACCTTGCTACGTGTACTGAGTTTAAGCTAACTGAGACTTGTTATAGCACTTGCATATCATTGCTCTTTTGTTGATTTTGATTGCTTCCATTGTCCTCATTTGTAAGTGGCTTTGGATAAAAGCGTCTGCTAAATGACTAAATGTAAATTACTCAAGATTATTTTGGTCGGACTTATAGGCATATATAACAGAAAACTGAGTTGACATTTATGTATTTGAGGTGCTCTTTTATTTATCAGAATCAAATTTTTTGGAATGTGAAAAACAATACATAATGCAATTATTTATTTTATTAGGAAAATACCATATAGCCTATACATAAGAAGAAGTGGAATCTTAATTTGTAAACCAAATTAATGGTATAAATGTAATGCGATAAAAGAGAAGCAACTTGAGCGTCACTACTCAGGATTTTCTCCGTTATCAAATCTTCCCACCCTGTGTTTGCTGTATCGATGTTTATGCGTGTTTTTTTTAAAATTGCATTTATTTATTTGTTTGTTTGTTTATTTGTCTTCGTCTGTCTTTCTGTCGTCTGGTCTCAGAGCTTTTCCACTTCTTCGTCCAAACAGGTACTGATCAAAGCATCAAACTAGGCCTACTGAACACATCTTAAACATAATTTCAAAGTATATGATTTTGACCACTTTTTTCAAAATGCAAAACTAAATGTGTCATGTGCCAAGTGTTTAATTAGTCTAACTAAGTCCTTAGTATTGTGGATTGTATTTAAACAGTGCACAAACATGAATTTGCACATCTTGGCTGTAGCCTCAGACAGGGCATATATCAGGGTCGCGAGCGATTTCCAAGTGTTTTCTGTCTCTTTAGAATTACTCAAAGTCAGAAGAGACTCCAAACAAACTAAGCGATAGTCACAGTGATAAAGAATCTGATGTAATACTTTGGCGCCTACTGGTGCAACAGAATAAAAGCGATTTTATGATTTAAGTTAAAGTTCCACATAACAGCAATAAAGTCAAATCAACAGTTATGGAGAAAACTGACGAAATGCATTAAACATGTTGATGTTTCTCAGTACAGCATATGTTAAGAAATATGTTGTTTTGACATTCAGATCGTTTCACAGATGCTGGTATGATCCTCTTCAGTGTTTCTGATGGAGTTCTGTATAAGCTCACTTCGTACTGTGATCCGAGGAGAATCGTAGAAGAGAGAGTAAGTGTCTCATTCTCAGTCTTGCCAACTTAGCAATTTAGTTGCTAAATTTAGCAACTTTTCACACTACCCTAGCAACTTTTTCTTCCAAACGCATCTAGCAACAAATGTAGCTATTTTTCACATTTATTTGGCAACTTTTAGCAACGTTTAATAAGTGACACAAACAATAAAAAAGGCACACATTTTTCATCTAAATTACACAAAAAGAGGAAACCGAAGATCACGTGAATCAAGTTACTTACTGTTCAATTTATTATTAATAATAATCATTTAATAATTGTTCATTAATTATACACCTTGTTAGCTTGTACCTGCGATTGTTGATCACTTAGTACACCGTAAGAACAATGTCTAGAAAAATGGAAAAGGTACTAGTAATTTTCCAGGCCATTATCCGTTATCCGTTGTAACCCGAAAACACTAAATACAATGCGTAATTAAAAATGCAGGTAAAAAAACCCCAGAAAAATCAGTACAGAAAATTCCTTCATATTAACATAGTAGATTTTGCCCTATGTTTTACAGATTTGTCTTAGAGTGTATAGCATACTAACTAATACACTGCTTAAAACTACTGTATTGTAGTTTACTAGCTAATAAAAAAAAAATCTTAAATTGTAAAAAAAAAAAATTCAATTCAATGTTGTATTTAAAAAATACAGTTGTTTATATTTTAATATTATATTATGCATTTATATTATTTTACGAACAAATCTAAATTAACATATACGAAATATAATCTTCGCTGAGATTTGACGCAGTGACAATTTTGCGTCGTGATTACGTAACAACGTCATTTAGCAACTTTTAGCAACAAATCGACCTTCCTTTAGCATCTTCCCCTGAAAATCATTTGGCAACACTGCTCATTCTTCATCTTCTCCATTGTATTTGTCCAAACTCTCGATAGCGTACTGTTTCAAGCATACTCGCCACTCATCTGGGATCTCCGATGTTTTAGTAAGTATTTTTCTAGATATTTCTGGAACACAAACCACTTCCAGTAAGGCCGATTAGAGAGGTCAGAGGTGATGCTCCAGAAGGCATCCCGGGTGAAATAAAGTACACTTCCATTATGTACTTAAAGTGCTCTATTTTTGCACGCTAATTTTGTACTTGTTATGCCAAAAATGATTCTTTAGTACTTCTAAAGATAAACTTAAGATCATCTAAGTGTACTGAACTGTGCTATTTTGGGACACCATGACTATGAACTAAAATGTGCTTTTAACACTGCCTTTGTGTTTAAAAAATGTATTTAGTCACCACTTTATAGTACACTTGATGCACGATGGTGCAAGTGTACTACAAGGGGTAACTAAATACATGTATATATATACTTAGGGTGTTAAAAGCACATTTTAGTTTGCACTGCAAAAAATGTTTTTCTTACTTAGATTTGTTTTTGTCTTGTTTCCAGTTACTGTTGCTTGTTCTAAGCTAAGACTTAATTTTGACTTGGTTTTTTTGCTGAAACCAGTCAAACTCTTTCTTCAGAGTTTCTTCTTCATCTTTGAGTTTCGGGGCGAGTCCTCTCCTCTTTTCATAGACACTGTTTCTAGGATTATCCCATTGAATGGAAAGTTTATTGACGTTTCTAAGCATATTAATTGGTATGAAATAATCTGTTAGTCTTTAGGCAATGCTTACTGTATTTAAAAGTAAACATTAACAAGCACATATCTCAGGTTTCTAGCTATTTTAATATATCGATGATCTGTTAAGCATCATATAATGTTTGTTAATGGTTTATTAATGAAAACAATTGTAAAGTGTTGCCAACTTTCCTTACACATGTTGATCTAATAGTCTCTCTCTCTAGTGTGTTAAGCTTCTGTGAGTCCAAATATATGTGTTAAACTGTGTGATACTTAACTTTTATTGCTATATGCAGAACTTATGGAGCAATTCTGCATCATGTTCATGCGTATGTGAACATAAACTGAACACCAATATTTCTGAACAAACTTTTTGCAAGAATGAGATATTGTGAATAAATGACAAGAACAGATGATCATCATTCAAGTCATTCAACTAACAAAACATAATACATCAGTGTGAAATGTCTTGTAATTTCTATTTCAATTTAACAGCTGTTTTCTTACCAACATCATACTTTTGTGTGCCATACGGATTTTAAAATATACCAAAAAAAAATGCTTCATATGAATATTTTTATACTTCTTTTAAGAATGGGAGGCACATTTAGAGGTCATTTCTGGTTAATGGTGTTACATAATTCATCGGTATTGTGAAACTGATGTGTGAATGAAATATTGTTGCCTCTGTATTTTTGTATTTTGTTTAAGTTGCTCCGGTAATTTTATGCACAATTTGCTGGTATTAGCCTACTGAGTGAAAGAGACTAATGGCAGCATATCACATTGAAAAACCACAACTGCAAGTTATTTTATCATAAAGTTTCATATTTCAGAGCGGAAGGGCATATATTCAACAATAACACAAATATCACGATTACAAATCATAAAGACTTCATGGTTTTTACTTTGTTCTCCGAGAACTCGCAGTCCATAATTCTGTCAAAAATTACATTTCCAAAAGTTTGTCAGAAAACGAAAACAAACACTTTTTTTTTTTTTTTTACATTTTTTTAGTGGAGACAGGAATACAGCACTTCACCAGAGTGTATGAAGATGACAATTACGGCCAACTACACACAAAAGAAGTTTTCCACCAAGACAAAGTCTGAGGGTTTAATGTAAGACATAGATCACTGCTGTACTATTATACTCACTGTGATGTAAAATAGAAAATGCTGAAATAAATAATAATAATAACACAGTACTCAACAATATTTTATAGCACACTAGTAATAACAAGATTATTATTAGCATTATTATGTTGATTATTATATCTACATATAATATATATAGCAGCATGGTTATCATATCACAGTATTGCAATCGCAATATTCAGCAAAAGTGACTGCAATAGAAAACAAACAAACAAAGCAACACATCGTGTTCACGTCCTTCAGTGCTGAAAGAGAATATGAGAACATACAGGCCTGTAATGTACAAAATACAAAATCAGCAGTTTAATGTAAAAATGACACTTGAATGTAGGTTAATAAAAAGACTACGCAGCCTATTTCATACAAATGCAACCAGAAAGCAATACAACGGATATAAATAAAAAAATGCATTTCTGGTTCTGTGCATTGCACACATTTATCTAACATGAGAACGCAGATATCTGTTGACGTAGCAGCGGCTCACTGTAGACC